AACTCCTGATAGAAGTTGTTTGACATTGCTTTCGCAACTTGGTCGTATTGGTAGAGCAACGCATCTAGACCGGAGTCTGTTGTATGTAGGATAATTTCCAGTCGGACCGTGGTCGTGGTACATTCCCAGACGTTTCGCCGGCATCGTAGTCTTCATACCTTCGATTAACTCCTGATAGCTTAGTTGTTTAATTAATCTCCTATTGTCTAGACATTGCAAATATCTTTCTTAATCAGGAGGAGCAAAAAGACTATTCTACTGGTTCGAAAGCTTAGGTAATGTACAAAATACGACCTAAGCACATCAGAATAAGATATTAACTTATTCTGGCCTTCATTTATTCTTTAATCTTAAACGTAGTAGCCGACAGTACTTAAATAAAAATTAAGTCAGGCAATCAAGCAAACAATACTTTCAAAATATGGAAAGTACTCACCTGAGCTACTTGAAAATTCCACCTGATCAGATGTTGCATCTTGAATCTGGTAAAAGTCACGAATGGCGTGCCAGTCTGAATCGGTCAACGGATCTATGAAAGCAAAAGAGTTCTCCTCACGATGCCACCCATCTGCGGTGTTTTGCCATTGTGATGAGCTCTGTCTAGTAGGCGGAGATGAGGATTGGGTGAGTTTCTGTCTCTTTGAGTCAGAAGGTACTGTAAGCGTGAGAGCAGAATTAGGAGAGAAAGTTTACAGACTATTTAGTTAGAATGAATTCAGTTGTCAGACATGTTACAGCCAAAAGCAAGTGTAATCATGCAAAGGAAGATCAAAATGGTCTAGCCCTTATTCTAGCAGAAATATTCTTTCATTGCACAGCACTGATACAATGTCTCTTTCATTTTTCCACACATTGCATCCTCTGCCATAGAAGTCATGATTATTCTCAGTCCACTATCCGAGATATCAGCCTCAATATTAAGTAAATAAAACTTGTGAAAACAATTGGGGCGAGCACATGTTAAGTTGATCTTAGGACAGCTAATAATTCTATTGCAAATGTTAATAAAGATCATTCCAAAGTACAAATTGTGCGTGGTCATGAATACCTTCAAAATGGCTCTTCATCAAATGGAGTAGTTTGTTAAACAAGAGTATCATTCTGTAATCATTAGGCGCCTATGATTTCCCTCTGTAAATCAACATAAAGTAAATGTTTCTTAAACCTAAATGAATCCTAGATTGGATTGGTATTTGTTGAATGTGATGTTGAAAATATAGTCTTTATCAGAGACTCCTTTAAAGTTTGTATGTTATTAAAAAATACACACTTGTAGGAAAGCGATGCTGAAATTATCAGGGAATTTGGTTGTATGAGTTAAGATTGTTACTGTGGATACTTTCATTTCGTATAAAGGTGCATGCTAGAAAGATTTGTT